AGAGAGAGAGAGAGAGAGAGAGGCAATAAATGTACAATTATAACAATTAGATCAATTCTGAACACACATAGAGTGAACGCAGCTAAGCTCTGATTGCTGCAAGGCGCGCTAAAAAGGTGGGGAGCACATTGATTAGCAAATACGTCACATAAATGTATATTAGTATATGTATATATATAGTATATATAGAGGGCATTAGAGTATATCAATCGACAGTCTGCTTGGCACAGTTGGCATATTTACCCATGTTAAGTAAACGTGCGCTGCTTGTTATGCTACGATTTCTACGACGGCTTTCAGTGGCGCCTCATTAAAATCGAAGCTGTTGTTGTTGTTGATGTTTATAGCTGTTGTTTAGTAGTACTGGCTGTTGTTGTTGTTGTTGTTGTTGTTGTGATGGGTTCGCAATTGACTTAGTTTTATTTTTACATTTTTGCGCTGTACGTATCAGCTGTATGTTGTTGTTGTAGCTGTTGTTGATGTTGTCGTGGCCTATTATTAGTATTGTTTACTTAATACATACACAGTCATATATATATATATATATATCTATATATATAATTAAAATAAATACAAAAGTTTACTACATTCTCCGACTATAAATGGCATGCTTTTATTAATGTTATGTAACAACACACACACACATATACACTCGCACTCGCACTCGCTCATAAAAAATGTTTTCATACATATTTCTGTTTTATTTCGAAAAGTTGTCGGCATTCACAGCACTGTCAGCACGCACTGAGAGAGCCAAGTCAAAACCTTGACAGCAACTAAAGCTGAACTAGTTTATTTTTGTTGTTGCTTTTTCATTGTTTGTTGGCCCATGGATTTGGATTAGGTAAGAAGACGTCGTCGCTGTTGCCGCGCCATTGTACTATGACTTTTGCTCGGTCGTTCATCGATCCTGGTTTTTGTTTTTGTTTTTGGTTTGCCAGTTGGTAACTGTCGTCTTGACCCAGTTTTGAGTGCTGGCCAGCCAAAGCTAACCGTTATCTACCAAACTTGAACTGACATTTCAGCTTACCTTCACCAGTTGTCAGAAATTGCGTGCTTTGGCGTTTGTGGTTAAGCAAAGCTTATTAGGTGCAATCGCAATCGCAATTTTCAAGCTGACATATCAAGTATTATATATTAATATAATTATGCCTTACTCAAACATTTTTAGTCGAGTTGAGTAAGTGAATATTCACTGTTATGCAATGCCTTAATAAATTTATTCCGCTTCAACCGAATTGTAACTGAACTTTATTAATCGTCTTCATCACGAATTTGTGTGTGTGTGTGTGTGTGTGTTTGCATGACGTGAATCACAAGAAATCGGATATGCTTTAAAAGCGACAGTCCAAGCACAACAATAAACACACACGCATGCCCCATGTAATTGTGTGAGTGGCTGTCTCTTTCTCTCTCTATGTGTGCGAGTGTGTGGGTGAATAACAAACAATATCAATAGCCAGCAAATACAATTTCACTGGCGCTACAGGAAACGGGCCGCGCTGAAAAAAGCGCGCTCGCTGCCCTCGACCGCAAAGCGGAAGTCGACGTTCGATAAAGCAAACTTTTTTCTGTTGCATAGTTTTAGGCGCTGCATAAAATGCCTGCAGCAATTGCACTTAATTGCAATATTCCGGTCGATCGATATTATTATGGCCTCATTCAATTAAGAGTTAACACGCACACACACACACACACACACACATACATAACTGCTGGCATTGAAACGCCATTGCACATCGCTCTGTATGCAATTAATTGTGTTTCACCACAATTGCAGAACAGAAAAAAAGATGCTACAATTATATTAGAAATAAAAAAAAAAACAAAGCTACTTTTGCACGTGTGCGCGCTTTCAATCGGTGCTGCCGCTGTGGCTGTGCTGCCGTCGACGTCGGCGTCAGCGTCGGCGTCGCCTCGGTCGATGTAGCCAACGCTCTACGTGCTGGACGAATATCAAGGGTGCACTGTTCAGCGGCCACACACAGAACGAGCCCACACAATGACGACGCCAACCATAACTGACAGGCGGCCGAGCCAGCGCACAGATATAAAAACATAGATAAAAGTGGCAAAATACTTGCGGAGGCCAAGCAGCAGCAGCAGCAGCAGCAGCAGCAGCCGCAGCAGCGAAATCTACACGTGCCAACACATTCACATACATTTATACGTATATTTACATAAAGAAACGCATTGGAAGCTTGTGCGTGTGTGTGTGCGTGTCTTCTGTACGTCAGACAGTCTCTAAGCGCCCGCCACTGAGTTGTTTTCATGTTCACTCGCTTGACATTGTGTCGTCATCAACCCCCAACGTGGACACACACACACACCTAAACACACACGCACATGTGTGTATGTACGTGTGTACATGCGTAGGCTTACCTGCCCACTACACACACACAGACACAGACACACGCACACAAACAGCATTCATTCAATGAACTGAGCCGAATACACACATAGAAAACTCTACATATATGCACATACACACACACTCTCACAAATACATATGTAACACATACATGCGCGTTGCGTATAGTGAATTTCCTTCAGCTTTTCTAGCTGTTCTCCGCACTAACGACGCACACAGCTGAGAGTTCCGCACTTGACTAAGTTGGGTTTGCTTTGGAAGCACACTGCGTACCCGGAGGCCAGAACACCAGCTGTGGGTCATGCGCACTGCGGCCACAGTCGCAGTCGGACAGCTGTTTGTGCACTGCGAGAAAGCGGGAGTTGGTACTCACGTGTCTCCACGACCAGTATGGCCGTCACGAACTCGCAGAGCACCTCCTGGTGGCGCTGCAGGCGATCGCGCGTGATCAGCACTCGCTCCAGCATGTAGCCCATCATCAGCAGCTCCACCTTGAGCATGGCACTGACATCGATCAGCTGGCGCACGCTCAGCGTCTGCAGCACCTTCTGATTGCCGGCCAGGCCGCTGGCCATTTTCGCTCCACTCTCCCTCTTTGCGGATCTGCGGCAGGGACGTTGATCCTTGGAGCTGGGCTTCTCCTGCACTTTCTGGTGGCGACGGCAGCGACGCAGACGTCTGGCCTGCTGCTCCTGCTTGCCATAAATGTCGCATAGCAGTGCACTCAGCAGAGTTTTCGTGTCGCTGTGGGTATTACCAACTGGGTTACGGCTTATCAGGGCCGAATGCTAAGTGTTAATTAAAGCTCACCTCATTTTCGTAGACTTCAGTGATAGGACACAGCGGTTGTGCAACGATTGCCGCATGGGTATGCTCTTCTATCGCCCGCAATGGCTTTTTTATGCAAAATATAAAACTGAAAATACAAAATAAATTTACATAATAGTCTAAGCATTGTTTGATTTATTTTTAAGTACTTTCAGAAAATGTACTCCGACCAATACCTAGAGCTGCAGATGTCCATTAAACTTGGTGGATTGAATGTGTTCAGACTAGATTCTTTTTATACTGTTTGAATCCGAGGGTACACTCGCTTTTAAAAGAATTTAGATATTACAGTTATGCCAAAAAGGGACTTGGAAGTGTTTCAATTGATGAATAGACATAAATATTTGGGAATATGATAAAACATTTCTAGTCTGCGTTTACAGGGGACAGGGATGACAGAAAAAATATTGCCTTAGAACTAGAATATAGAATATTGAATTGCTTATATCTATATGC